TAAACAACTTGTTCTGAATAACCAAAAGGCTTAGGATGTTGATATTTAGTCAGTAGCATGCTGGGATCAAGGACTACTATGTTTGTTAAAGTGAATGACTTTGACTTATTTTCAAGTTCACAGGGGTCAAATTTGTTTAAAATCTTTAATCGACCTCTTTTGAATAACCAAGGGTCCCAGGATGTTGATACTTTGCAAGTTGCATCCTGAGATGAAAGGCTATAAAATTTGTTTAACATAATGACTTTGTTCGACTTTCAATCACAGGGGTGAAATGTTTAAAAAAAAAAAATAACAGGTTCTTTTGAATGAATTTTAATCATAAATACTGATATTTTATTTTGCCTGTAGCTTTATTTTAGATCACTTTTAAGGTTACAAGTGTGAGATTTATACCAGGTGAGCGATGCAGGCCCATTGGGCCTCTTGTTGAAATTCAAAATTGTGATTTGACATTATTGAAATTCAAAATTGTGATTGGACATTATTGAAATTCAAAAATTGTAACTAGGCATTATTGAAATTCAGAATTGTGATTTGACATGATTGAAATTCAAAAATATGATTAGACATTATTGAAATACAAAATTGTGATTGAGCATTAGTGAAATTCAAAATTATGATTGGGCATGAAGAAAAGGATGTACTCATGCAACCATAATTGCCCGAGGGGTCCTGCAAGACTCTGAGGACTCAGTCCTCAGGTCTTACCCTGAAAATAAGTGAGATCCCCACCCTCTAAATATATGGTTAACATATTTTCTGGGTATGAAGAGACAAATTCATGTAACATCAATTTTTTATATCTTAAGACCTGTTGTTGAAATATTGAATTATCAAATTTGAATGATTGAATTTCTGTAAGTCATTTATTGTTTTCAATTTTGAATGATGGAAAATGTGGTAAGTCATGAAATGAATGAATAAATTAAAAATAATTTAACAATTTTATTACTTTGCTAATTTGTTTTTCACTGATCTATGTTGAATTAGTGGTAGATAATTTTTAAAAAGATTGAATTGTGTAGAGATAAAGTGAAATTATGGTAGATCAGTCGTTGAGTTTTCGAATTGTGATAAATCTTGTCTTTATTATTGAGTGTTTGAATTTTCCCCCAGGGGACAGGATCCTAACCTGTGGGTACAGGCGCTGTCGTACTTTGCGAGGAAGGAGGATAACTGTAAATCACAGCTCATGGAGGTCCTTTCCCGTATCCTTATTAGAAAATATTTTAGATAATGATGAATAGATTCTGTTTGATTAAAACTAATTTTGTTTAACTCATTCACCCTATATATCTAAACTGGACTTGCCCATTCATTGATTTGGTAATGTTCAAATGCGACTTTAGGAGTGAACAGGTTAAAGGGCCTGGTCAATCATCTGATTCAAACCCATCCATTAAAAGAATTTTTTATGATGATGAATAAGAATTTTAAAGATAAAAGCCCTACCTTTTGAGTTTTAAAGATGAAAGCCGTATATTTTGAATTTTAAAGATGAAAGCCCTATATTTTGAATTTGGGATGATAGCCCTATATTTTGAATTTTAAAGATGAAAGTCGTATATTTTGAATTTTAAAGATGAAAGCCCTATATTTTGAATTTAAATATAAAAAGCCTTGAATTTTTAATTTTAAAGATGAAAGCCCTATATTTGAATTTAAGGGATGAAAGCCCCAAATTTTCAATTTTAAAGATAAAAAGCCTATATTTTTTTAATTTTAAAGATGAAAAACCCTTAATTTTGAATTTTAAATTTTAAAGATAAAAACACTATATTTTTAAATTTTAAAGATGAAAGCCCTAAACTTTGAATTTCAAATATGGAAAGCCCTATATTTTGAATGTAACAAGCATTTACTGGACGCTGTGGAGATAACGAAGAATTTATGATTCATTGAATCAAGTTGCAGCACACACCTCTCAATTGCAATATAATTTGCTTGTGTTCAATCCTGAATTAAAGGGCTCTTGATTGGATGCAATTTGTATTTTTTGAGGCAAATGCTTTTTATTTTTGTGCAAATGTATTGGTTCTTTTTCTTCCTTTGCAGAGAATTGGACTGGATAGGGCTTTAGTTTTGTGTGGTCAACAAAATTTGTATGAATTTTGTTTCTAGAGCATAATACTTGTATACCATAAATTTAGTATGTTTTGTGTAAATAGACATTTATTTAGATCTATATCAGAATGCAATTATTTACCTTGACGAAAGACCAGAAATTGACAAAAAGAATTTGTTACCTCCCCTGTTGGTGATACAAACATTAGCTCATAACTCCACGGCAACCCTGTCGGTTGTCAAGGTAACCAACATTAATTATATTCTTTGTATAGCTTATAAGAATGAAGACATCTTAAGATTACCTCCCTTTACTGAATTGTTGATAGTTTATAATACCGGACAAATGTCTGTAATTTTTTTCCCCAACAATTAATCCCTCATATATCACTTATGGTCCCTTTGAAAAATGGTTGTATTTACCACCAAATTTTGTAATTGTGGGAAAATTGATATCCAAATGTTTAAGTAAGTTACATACTTATAGACTGTTGTAATGCATTTTACAAAATTACAGTTGTCCGAAATTTGAAGGTTTGAAAACAGAAAAGAAAAAAAGAAAACCCCCCTGAGATTTCAGGACCTTTGCATTGCTATGCTTACACTTGACCAAAGGCACCATCCAGAAACTAGGGAGGCTTAGCATCAAAATCTGTGTCCAACTTATATGGACTGCAAAACCAATAAAAAAGGCAATGACCCAACTTATATGGACTGCAAAACCAATAAAAAAGGCAATGACCATTGAAAGATACATACCTTGACAGGGAAAGTTACTCTAATCCAGAAAGTGTCTTTTTGGTTGCTTTGTGTTCGATATAGAAGGGAGACTACTCCATTGCCTGCTGTAAAGAATCAATAGTATTTAGCCTGTGTATTTTTTTGCTGTAGGACTATATTATCAGACGACTTCAGCTGGAGAATGACCAAATAGCCGAGGATGAACGGCTTATTAAACAGTACCGTGAAGACACGGAGAAAAAACGGGCACAGATCGAGGAGATGAAAACTACGTAAGTTTGACTCTTTTTCCTTTTTACCCTAATCTTGATGCAACATAATTGCAGTCTTTTCACCAATGAGTAGCCATGAGGAAATTTACGAATTTGAATTATTCCAACAAAACTTGTGACCTTTGTTATTTTAGCATTTTTAACTGTATCATGTGTCTATCTGTCCCTTAGATCTTTCAAAATCCAACAATTGGACATTTACAAAAAAAGTGATGAACCAGTTTCGACAAGTGTTACCTAAATACGACATCTACAGCTGTTCAGGACTATTTAAGCACTAAACTGCTTTCAAATGGCTATTGACGCTGCAAATGCCAACTGAAAGAAGTCCAGTGCTAATATTTCGACAACATTTTCAGGGAATTTTAAGATTTCATAATAGTTAATACCGGGAAATTTTCACCCAGTCAAGTTTCCCCCTTCACTGATAAAATCCTAGACTGGCTACCAACCCCTAAGTTTTTATGAAGAATTTCTCAACTGTATTTTACTTCTAGCTTATCTCCCCCTAGTTTAATTTAGAACTTAATCAGACACTGATGTTATCAACATTTTTTGAGTTAAACTTTTTTCTTAATAATTCAATATTCTAGAGACGGTAGCCAGTCTCATAAAATCCATACTCACACAGTTAACTTCGCCCTTTGCAGTTAGTCTCGCTGTATACCGTGTTGATAACAAATATTCGCTGTTATGATAAATTTGCCCTCATTACGTAGAAAAAAGGTGAACTTTTCCTGGGATACAGTAACGACAATGTCAGCAATCAGGTAATTATATTGAAGGCAGAGATTAGAAATTTCAGGATTATTTTTAATCATTGTTATGCAATAGTAGATTTGTTAAAGTTATCTCTCCTGTTTGTAAACAGAAAATGGTGAATGGAGATCTTCGTTTAAAGACATTCAAACAGTAATGAAATGAATGTAACTTTATTATGAACTTGTATTTTTCAGAGCAAAAATATTCCAGGCATCAAAGTGTAACATATGTAACCATCCACTAGAACTGCCGTCTGTTCACTTCCTGTGTGAACCTCACTCCTACCACCAACAGTAAGTATAGACTTCATCACTCCGTCGGTCCCCTGTCCCATTAATATGTAACACCCCACTACGCCTCACTTCCTGTGTGAGCCTCATTGTAAGTATGGACTTCATCACTCCGTCGGTCCCCTGTCCCATTAATATGTAACGCCCCACTACCCTCACTTCCTGTGTGAGCCTCACTCCTACCACCAACAGTAAGTATAGACTTCATCACTCCGTCAATCCCCTGTCCCATTAATATGTAATGCCCCACTACCCTCACTTCCTGTGTGAGCCTCACTCCTACCACCATCAGTAAGTATAGACTTCATCACTCCGTCAATCCCCTGTCCCTTTAATATGTAATGCCCCACTACCCTCACTTCCTGTGTGAGCGTCACTCCTACCACCAACAGTAAGTATAGACTTCATCACTCCGTCGGTCCCCTGTCCCATTAATATGTAACGCCCCCACTATGCCTCACTTCCTGTGTGAGCCTCATTCCTACCACCAACAGTAAGTATAGACTTCATCACTCCGTCGGTCCCCTGTCCCATTAATATGTAACGCCCCACTACGCATCACTTCCTGTGTGAGCCTCATTCCTACCACCAACAGTAAGTATAGACTTCATCACTCCGTCGGTCCCCTGTCCCATTAATATGTAACGCCCCACTACGCATCACTTCCTGTGTGAGCCTCATTCCTACCACCAACAGTAAGTATAGACTTCATCACTCCGTCGGTCCCCTGTCCCATTAATATGTAACGCCCCAAATATGCATCAATTCCTGTGTGAGCCTCATTCCTACCACCAACAGTAAGTACAGACTTCATCACTCCATTGGTCCCCTGTCCCATTAATATGTAACACCCCACTACGCATCACTTACTGTGTGAGCCTCATTCCTACCACCGACAGTAAGTATGGACTTCATCACTCCGTCGGTCCCCTGTCCAATTAATATGTAACACCCCACTACGCATCACTTCCTGTGTGAGCCTCATTGTAAGTATGGCCTTCATCTCTCCGTCGGTCCCCTGTCCAATTAATATGTAACGCTCCCACTATGCCTCACTTCCTGTGTGAGCCTCATTCCTCCCACCAACAGTAAGTATAGACTTCATCACTCCGTCGGTCCCCTGTCCCATTAATATATATGTAACGCCCCAATATGCTTCACTTCCTGTGTGAGCCTCATTCCTACCACAAACAGTAAGTTTAGACTTCACTCAGGGCAGTCCTTCAAATGGGGTATAAGTGTGAAAATATCAGAACGTTCATTTGTGATTGTTGAAAACTCTTGAAAACTGTGTAGATTTGTGCTAATAATAATGTAGTCTTTTGATAATGTATTATAAACATATTGATACTGATAAAATTTATTTAAATTTTCAGTTGTTTCGAAAGTTACGCAGAGAATGACTCTGAATGCCCAGTTTGTGCGCCGGAAAACAGGTAAAAATCTTATTTGTCACATAACAAAATACAGGTAGCTGTTGTATTTCTTGCATTGTGTCTTTTTTAGGTCACCTGAGCTTTGCTCAAGTGACCTATTCCAATCACTTTCCATCTGTCGTAGTCCATCATCCGTCGTCCGTCGTGCGTAAACTTTTTACATTATCAACTTCTTCTCAAGAACCAGTGGATGGAATTTTTTCAAACTTGGTCAGAATCATCCTTGGTAGATGAGGCTACCAAATTGTAAAATTGGGATTCCTACCCCGACCCTAGGGGCCAGGGCGGGGCCCAAAAGGGAAAATTAACCAATATTTTAAAAATCTTCTTCTCCAGACTCAGAGGTATTACAGTCATTTTCTCTGCATGGATGGAAAGATCATCAGGGGCTTTATTTAAATTGTAAATTTCAGGACCCCCGAGCTATCCGTTCTCCCTTGGGGAGGGGGTAAAGTTTACTATAGTTTATATAGGGAAACAACACTTTTGGGTATATTTTGACAATTTTCTGTTGGAAATTATTTTTACTTGGTCAGAATCATCCTTGGAGGAGGAAGATGGTTTTAAATTGTAAAATTGGGATTCCTACCCCAACCCTAGGGGCCAGGGCGGGGCCCAAAAGGGAAAATTAACCAATATTTCAAAAATCTTCTTCTCCAGACTCAGAGGTATTACAGTCATTTTCTCTGCATGGATGGAAAGATCATCAGGGGCTTTATTTAAATTGTAAATTTCAGGAACCCCGAGCTATCCGTTCTCCCTTGGGGAGGGGTAAAGTTACTATAGTTTATATATATGGAAACAACACTTTTGGGTATATTTTGACAATTTTCTGTTGGAAATCATTTTTACTTGGTCAGAATCATCTTTGGTGGATGACGGTATCACATTGTAAACTTTGAATTCCTGCCCCATCCCAAGGGGTTGGAGCGGGGATCCAAAGGGAACATTTACAAATATTTTAAAATTCTTATCCTTTGATGACATGACAAGTATTGTATTTCACTTAGTTTACATGCTGATTTCCACATCACATCTAAACAATAAAATAAAGCTACCAGTACCTATGATATAACTCAGGTGACCGCTAAGGCCCTTGGGCCTCTTGTTTAAGGCATACCAATTATCTACAAAACTGTCACCCTTTGGTTGCCTATAGGACATACAGGGTCAAGGTCATAGGTAAAGGTCACAGGTCAAGCTGTCGTATCTTTGTAACTTGAGGAACTTTGAACCTCATCCATGTCTCACACTTGTGATGTCTATTATTCGAGCACAAGGTCAAGGTCATAGGTTAAAGTTCAAACTGCTGTGTCTGTGTTCCTTAGAAATGTAATGTTGAAACTTGTTTTTGTACACTGGATTATATTTACACCACTATCCCTAGTTACATATTGTTATTACAGCTCATGGGGACCATTCACCCTCATGTTCATATTTTGCTGTGGAAATATCTGTCTAAAAAGAATTTCATGAGTATTTGTAAACTAATTCTTTGACAGTTGACGTTTCCTTCAAAAAACGATCTATACTACGTAGATGCAATTGTAAAAACAACTCAATCATTTGTTAAAACATCTCATTATTTACATGTCGATAAGTTTGGTAACAACAGTCTATATTTAAACATTTATAAAAACAGTTCTAGTACGTATATAAACAACTCACAACTCAAACGGAAACAGAAAATGGATTGTTTTCCTTATGACAAAGGATGGAAACATTCTAGAAAATTCCGAGTGACTTCAGTAATTCTAATATAGGAAAACATTCCAGACGAAAACGGATGAAATTGATAAAATTCGGGTCAAAATCGTAACCTGGCGTGTGAAGTTATTAAAGCAGGTGAGGGCTGAAATTCCGGGTGTATGTTAACTTCATATTAAAAAACAAACTGTGATTATTTTTCTATGTTATTTTGTTAATTACAGAAAAATCATGGATATTATACGAGCACAAGAACAGAGCAAAGATCTACACGAATTCTTCCATAATCAGGTGAGTCCTGTAACAGTAGTCAAGGAAATGGCATGTCCTTAACCCTTCCACCCCTATGTAACTTTAGTAGACTCTACCATGCACTGATCTGGATGAGTCCATTATGGTCTGCAGTGTTGAAAGGGTTAAGGCCAGGCCTATATCATTAACTGAGGACATAGTGTGTCCTACATAGCTCTAGGTTCATTACGGTAGCTGAGGATGCGATATGTCCTTAGTGTTTCCAGATCTGTACAGTATCTAAAGCTATGGCATGTCCTTAAGGTTGCAAGCCCTCTAACAAGTAGCTGAGGACACGCATATCCTAAGTAATTCCAGGTTTTTTATGATTGCTGAGGGCATAGTATGCGTTAAATGGTTCTAGGACTAGTAGTAGCCAAGGACGCAGTATGTCCTAAATGGTTCTAGGACTAGTAGTAGCCAAGGACGCAGTATGTCCTAAATGGTTCTAGGACTAGTAGTAGCCAAGGACGCAGTATGTCCTAAATGGTTCTAG